AATTATATAGAGACAATTAATATATATATATATAGATATTCATTTATTTTCAACAAATTTTTTTAATATAATGCATATGTAATTTTATTTAATTTTTAATTTATATATATATAAATAATTATAATTATATATTTTATTTAAATAAATTTTTTAAATATTAAAATAATAATCTTCTTGATTTTTATCATATTTATTTATATATTAATTATTGATTACTTAAATTCAAATTTAAAGAAATTCAATTATGCTTCTTCACTGTATTATATACATATATTAGCTCAAAACTAATATACCCGTTTTGTACCACTGACAAATGGCAGCCGAAAAAGTAGCAGGCATACCAGAAAAAAGAGAAAAAAGAAGATAAAGGATAGGAAACAGTAGGCAACATTCGATGGCGCAACGTTGCGTGTAACGAGCCAGAGCCAGAACCTAGGCCAAAGGTTGTAACTGCCTGACTGTGTGTATGTGTGTGTGTGTGTTGATGTGTGTGCTGGTGTGTGTGCTGCCAATTGAGTGGCAGCAATCAATCTGCTAGATGCCCCGTAAAGTGTGTCAAACGCGCGCCTATGCTGCCATAACCAGCTGCCAAACAGCAACAAACAAAGCAACGAGACGACACCACGCCTCCTCCCTACCACCACCTCCCCTCTCTGCATCGGAGCCCGAGTGGCGCTTATAGCACTTAATTGACGTCAATCGCATTGGCCTGCAGTCTAGCCCATGCTTCACCAACAGCTTCTCGCCTGATGGCTAGAAAAATCACAGCTCGTTAGTGAACTTTTGCAGCTTCATTGAAATGATCAAAAATTGTTGCGCCCCCTCTACGTCCCACTCTGCCTTCCCCTTCCTGCTGCTCACTTGCTCTCTTATAGCGCCGCATTTATTGTTTTTAGCTACCATATTTTGAGCAATTATTAAATTGACAATGTGAGTGGGCCCAAACCCTCTTCAAGCAGCAACCGCAAATCAATTTTTGTCAGTCAAATCAAATGTCAACTACATGACAGGCAACAACGGAAGCCAAAGCAACTGCCACGCCTACTACTCCAAGAGCACAGCAGCAACTAACATGCACAGCTGCCTTTTAAAATGATGCTTCAGTTTCCTCTCTCTCTCTCTCTCTCTCTCTCTCACACTCTCCTTTTCTCTCTCACTCACACTCTATCTCCCGCTCTAACTGTGTGTTGCTTCTTAATGATTATTTGACGCCATGTTTGATTGACGTGTGTTGGCCGCTCGTTAGATATGTGCGTATGTCTTATGCCTGCGTGTGCGCGTGTGTGTGTGTGTGTGTGTGCGTGTTAATGGCCGCAACAACCACAAGGCACTTATCAATTTTTGCGCCTCAACCAAATGACACTCAATGTGGCATATGCTTTTATACAACCAACGAGTTTTATCAAGAACTCGAATACAAGTGTTAAATTGATTTGATTTCTCTGTATATATATGTATATATATGCTTTATATATGTAAAAGTAATTTACAATGACGTCACAAGCATTCATTTATTTTCATAATTTATAAGCAAACAGCAGTTAATATCTTTGATTACCAACTGACAGCTATTTATGTTAATAAATATGTATTCAAACATTTGTAGGGATATGAAATGAGGCTTTGCGACACAATTTACATAATTGCTTAAAGCTGTTGACAGACATAGCTAACGGTAAAGGCTTGACGCACTAAAAAGGATCTCCCACCAAGTGTGTTTATGTTTTCTTGGGGTAGTTATTATATTAAAGACAATCATTATATATATGCCTGCTACTAAAACTGACAGCAAGTCCACTAATTCAATGAATCTCTATAGAGTTAAGTTCACATATATTCCTGCACTACAATATATCGAAACATTTGACGTTTCACTGTTAAAATAGGAGTGGTTTGTTTATCGTAGAGTTTACGCTTGTAAGAGACTCCACTTCTACTGAAACTCCGCATTTTAAAGATTTGAAATTCATATATTCATGTATTCACATATTGTGCCTATTTTCATTATAGAAATTCCTCAGATGTTTCTGGTTCTATGCTAATTTTATTACATTTCGTCTGAGTATGGAAATGTTGAACCTTTGGGCCTTTGTTATTTATCCATCACTCAAACAGTTAATTATAATCGAAATCTAATCTAATCTAGTCGTTAATTCAATTAGTCAATCAATTTATTAGGTCAATCAGGCCGAGGTGATAATCGTTTATGCAAATGGTTTGCTGGCCAGGTCGATAGAGCGAAGCTATAAACATTTTTGGCTTGAGCTCTTTCTAATGCTCTATGCTTTAGGCACTCAGTAGCATCCTGTGCCCAGCTCACAGTTTTTTTTAGTCATAATATCTATACATCGAAGCCGTATACTCTTGTTCAAGCATCTCTCTCTCTCTCTCTCCCTTTGAATGCATATAGAACTGAATCTAGAGATACTTTCTTCAGATATACATATATATGATAATTGATAGATGTATATTATATATGAATTATTTATGCTTCTAGAATATTTGTGTAATATATAAGTATGGATCTATCCTTAAGCCAAAATAATTTATAATTATATTTATATTTTATATGTAAATTTATTTATTATTATATTTGAATTTGTCTGAATTTACAACCAACGCCAACGCTTAATCGTCTTCACAATTCGTCCCCCTCAATCAGTCAATAATTAATTAGCCAGATTTACGCATTTATTTCGTATTCGCTTAGCAAATTTCTAATCTGGGATATCAAGTAACAATAGATTGAGCTCGATTAAAATGAATTATTTTATCATTTATTTGGTGAGAAATTCCACAATTTAATCGATATCTAATAAATTCCGAGTCTAGCACACAGATTTGTGCCACTAGCTGCACAGGCCTAGAGCAATTTATTGTTTAGCTCTCCACGCTGGTGGGCGTGGCAGCTGTGCGTGGGTACTTGAAAAAAAATATGTAAGCCATGCGAGCGGAATGCCAGCGGCTAAAAAAGTTAACAGTTGACATAGTTTAGAGAGCTGAACGACCAGACGAGGCAAGCAGTGGAGAGGAGAGGAGAGTGTTGGGAGGTAGGCGTGGCTGATGGGCTGGGTGGGTCAGCAGGTTCAACAGCCAAGCTGGCAAGAGCTCTACACAACGTTTGAATGTGGAATGAATGAATGTCTTAATAGTGTGCCTCTTACACATTGCTGTTGTTGTTGTAATACCCTGAAGTGAATGTGTGAAGTGGGTATATTGGTTTAGAATGAGCGAGAGCAGCAGGCGATTGTAAGGCATGTAAGACTCTGGGAAATAAGTGGAAAAATATGAAATGGGCTGCTCTCTTAAACCAACTATCGATAATTTCGATAATTTATCGATATACATGTAAATACACTTGGACATATTTTTCAAGATATAAGTCAGGCCCCTTAATATCTATACTTGTCATTCTTAATCTCCTTTAGTGTACTCAAATTCCACCTAGGGTATGTATTAGTCGTGCACATGCCGCCTAGGTTACACCCACTCGTTGCTGTGACAGTTCGTAGCAGGAAAATTGGTGCCAAACTAAATGAATTTAATTGCCGCTGGATATGAAAGTAATTATTTTGCAGTTGCATAGAGACAGCCGAGGCGGGGCGCTTATCTCAGCTCTATCTCTCTATCTTGGTCGCTCTCTCTCTCTCTCTCTCCCTCTCTCTCGCTCTCTGTCTTTCTGTTTGCTGCTGCTGTGTGTGTTGCTATCGATGCACTTGCACTTAACAGCAAACAGGCGTAGGCAAGCAAATCGGCACACATACGCAACGACAGGGCACACACACACACACACAAACAGACTCGGTTACTTTCACTGCTGGGTAAAAATTGCCCCGCAGATATTTTGAGTTGTTCTTTAATTTATTCTCTTTTCAGTCGCCTAGCCCAGCGCGTTGTCCTTGCTGTTGTTCGAATGCGCCGCCAACGGCAGCTCCTACAAAAGCCAACCATGTGTGTAGGCGTATGTGTCTGTATCTATGCGTGTGTGTGTGTGTGTGTGGAAGTGACAGTGTTGTGTCACTTGTTTACATGGTTGGCCTTGTTTTGTTGCCTAGATCAGGCCTTTATATACCCTGTAAACGTTGAGAGCGGCGCTAGTAATGGGCTATACGCATTGGTAAAAGAAATCACTATACACTATATTCTTTCATTATAGACAGAAAACTCTTGTAGAAAGTTATCGATTGTTGTTGGCTACAAAGAGTTATAGACTTGACCTTTTCATAGAGCTTAGATTCATTTCATTTTTCTAATATTCTTTTCATAGAACTTATGCGTTCACTTTCTCCAACTTTCGCTATGCAGAAATAACTAATAAATCTGAAGAGCATATCTTATAAATGAATGTCAAAGAACAATACATACAGAGTTGTATATAAAGACAAAAGGGTATTCAACATTTCGTCGCTCTTTAGAATTCTGAAATTCTTTTCTTTTCGCAAGTTCACTTTTCATTTAATGCATAGAAAGTTTTTCCTTTCGCTGCAGACAGTTCAAGCTGTCGCTGACAGCAACAATTACAGGGTATTTGGTAGTCGTGCTTTTTCTTATATGTTTTCCCTGCATTGTTAGTTCACGGACCTTGTAACACTTTCGATCGTGCACTCAACCGAGAAGAAACGCAGAAATTAGCATTCGATTTGTTTTCATTTTCTTTTTTTCGCAGCATTTAACAAGTCCAATTTGTATACCAACTGGAAAAATTTAGATATCGTATGATATATTTTGTATAGCAAGTAGAGCTATGGCCATTACTCTATTCAAGTTTAGTCCTAACGAATTGTGGAAAAGCCTTTTCAGATGGATATCTAAAACTAGTTTCTATTTTATGCCTACTCAACTTGGTAACAATTCGAATTCGAATTCAAATCGTATTCGATTTATCAGAAAATAGAAATTGTGTTTTACTTTCTATATTTTGCAATATAAATTCGTTTGTTTTTTATGTATTTTATTTCATTTCAAATTCCTTAGTTGATTTTAAAGAACTATCGCAACCTTCACGGGCACCTTTGCACCTTCGGATCACAAGGTAATTGGCTAAGCCACTTGCCAAACTGTTGATACCACTGCCACAGCTCCAACGGATAGGTGTTAGTGTAATCCGGGGGACCTGGGTGAGGGCTGACAGTGGGCTTGCGAGTGGTAACGACTTTGTGGCTAGAGTCTTTCTCGTCATCGTTGTCATTCTTGACCACCACAATGCAGTTAACAACAGGACGCTCCGCCTCATCGTCCTTATCCTTGTCCTTGTCGGTGTCGTCAACATCATCATCATCATCATGAGCACCGCCCTCATACTCGAACTTGTCGTCATTGTTCGAGCCGCCTACTTTCCAGGTGATGTGGCGTCCATACTTCACCTGCCTGTCCTGCGACGAGACAACGCACAGAGGATAGCGCTTGGCGGCGGAACTGGGCTTGTTGCTTTCGAAGGAAAGCGAATGGGCGATGTTGGCCAAGCCGCTGAGCGGACTGCGCAGCAGACGTGACTCTGAGACCTGCGAGCCGCCTCTGGTTAGGCGTAGCAAGTCGTTATACTCCTGCTGAGTAACCTCGTGAATGCGCAGCAGCTGCGTGCGAGCTGCAAAGGTAACAAATCAAACTCTCACCCACATCCTGCCATGGGTATCATTGAAGGACTCACCAGCATCGGCTGCGACTGCGCATAGCGCCAGAAGCGCAACAAGTGGCAAAATCTTCATCTCTGGCCTTTCGAGCGCTCTGTTCGAATAACTAGCCGTGGCTAGTGGCAACATCTTTATAAAGATTCGTATGGCATTATCATTTAAATTTTGCCACGCCCCATCAAAAATCAAAACACTAATATGAACAATCTGCTTGTTAGTTTTCTTTTCTTTTCTTTTATTTTTTTTTTATTTTTCTATGCATAATTTACGCGCTGACCCAGTTCTGAGAGGAATTCGTTAAGCCAAGCCTTAACAGACAATGCGAAGTCTGCCCAAAATGCCATGATTTTGTTTTAATGATCGCCGTTCGCGTTTATGAGATAACTGTTTATTTATTGACGTGTCTCGGCGGCTGTCGGCAGCAGCGAAATGCTATTTGATAATTCGACTAGAACAGCGACGAGTTGGCTAAAGTGAAAATGGACAATTGTACAAATAAGGCGGAGCTAATGGCTCTTTAGTAATCAAATATTGAGAGCAGCTCCTTATATATGGCTAGAAAAGGTTCTAGTTAGGGCACATGTAAATGCAAATGAATATATCAAATTTTACAAACAAGTCTTTATGGTTTTCCTGCTTTGATTAGTTTTAGATTTTATATAAAATGATATAAAATTTAAAAACTAATTTAAAGAGATTTTTATTGTGGGGTAAATTCAGTTTAAAATTGTTCGAAATTGTTGAACTGCTTAATATTAAATATTCAAATATGAATTAGCCAAAATTTCCTGCTCTTGAGACGGGAATGAAACCCCTTGCCAAGTCTTAGACTGAATCTGTTCGCTTTGTTGATCTGTTAAAGTTGTTTATCAAGGATTCATGCCAAATCATACGTCAATATATGGCCATAGCTTACGCTTAGGCTTATGATAAATTTAAATCTTTGGGAAACTTTTAAGTCTATGAAATTCAAAAAATTTGCCTAATGAACCTACTTTTTTATGAGGAGCTCAAAAATTTATTCAGCAAATGGAATATGAAGTCCGAGTATTGTCTACTTCAGAAATAGTTTACTCTTAACTTGTAACTCCATCAAATGTGATGATCACGATCAGACATGGGTCAAGTAATTTGATGGCAGCCCAATGGCTTTTAATATTCGCTCATAGATAAATTCATGACAAAAACTCTTGAGCAGCTTTACATTACTTACACAAATCATATATAAACACTTTCGCAACTTGCAAAGAACTTTTAATAATTACAGTATAGTGCTGATACTTCTAAATGAAAAGGGGATAACTTTCTTTTTTTTTTTCATTTATCTAGTAATTCAAACTATCGAGAATTATTGAGAACGATTTTTGTTCAAGGGGATCGAATTTTTGTTTAAACATCGCGATGTTCGATTTATCGAGGTACGAACTATCGAGACTCGACAGTATATATTGAACGTCTATTGCTCTACCCCTATGATTGTCCGTCATCCATTTAAATCTAACATTTAAACAATATTCATATATTCATTTCAATATATTTTATAAGATTTTTATTCATAATAGTCTTCCTCTTCTGACTCCACATGTAAAATGTGGCCATACTCCTCGTCTTCCTCGTCCTCATCAGCGTCTTCCTCCTGTTTATCCTGCTGCTCGTAATAGGCAGGGGCAGGGGGATTGTAGTACGGATTCTGTCCATAATACGGCGGCGAATATGGATAGGGCTGCTGGCCAAAAGCTGATTGGGGGCTAAAGGGCAGCTGTTGGCTGTAGGCTGCATAGGGATTGTACTGGCCGTAGCTAGGGAAGGGATAGGCACCGCCATAGGCGCTGCCATATGGTGCCGTTGGCACTGGTGGTGGCGGTGGTGGTGGCAGTGGTGGTGCTGCTGGTGGTCCATAGGGCGAGCCGTACTGACGTGAAGCAGGCACAGCAAATACAGAGCCCAGAGCTGGGCGTGCCCGTTTCTTGTTCTTGCTCTTGGATTTGGATTTGGGTATGGATTTGGATTTGTTACGCTTCTTCTTAGTTACCTTTGGCGCACTTGTGGTTGTCGTTGTCCTGATCCGTTCCAGCTGCTGCTCAGCCTCTGGAGCAAAGTCCAGCTCAACTGGCTGTGCTGCCTGCTGCAGCGGCTGCAGCTGCTGCAGCGGCTGCTCGTCACTTTGTTCGGTGTACCAATAGGGCGCAAAGTCAGGATTGCTAGAGCTGAGGGTCTGCAATGCCGGATCCCGCTTAAGCACCACAATGCAATTGATGACCGACTCCTCATCGTTTGACGATCTGCCCTGTATGCCAAGCGACTCAGCATCGTATATATTGCGCCTCATAACACACAGAGGCTGCCCATCGATATCGATCTTTGGCTGCTCCGTGCGGGTCGAGGTCAAGCCGACGATGCGCAGCAGCGAGTTCCAGCCCGAGCCGAGCGTGTTGCGGACCGAAGTAAATCCGGCGGTAGTCAGCCGCCCCTCGGATATCAGATTTTTGCCATCGGTAAGCTGCAGCAAGCGCTCATACTGCTCCTCGCTGATGGGATAGACGCGCACCACCTGCCCCTCCTTCTCAGTCGATGGTGCTGCAAATGTGAATCGTTCTACAATATCTTTCCAGTGAATCTCGCTTGATTTCTTTACGTACCCGCCTCACAGCAACTCAATACCAAACATAGAAAGGCGAAACAACGAAGCCACGCTGAATGCATTGTCTGTCGTTCAATCAGTGAAACTGAGACTCGCAATGCCAGACGATAGTCTTATTTATACATTCGTCTGGTCTAAGACAAACGGTAAATATTTGCCAAATACTGCAATTATTTGGATTTCTATGGAATATGGAATATGGAATGGAATGGCCAGAAAAATTCTATCCCAAAATCCATTTCAATAAATTATTTGCAGCTGGCACACATTCGTAGCGAAGCCGAGTCAATGAACGCATTTAAATGCGGCATGGCTGGAACTGGTTCTTGAGCTATGTGTAAACCACCGAGATGCCGCATCTGCTTTAGTTTAGCTTGCCTCGATCGTGTTCATCATTTTTGGGCATTAGTTAGTCAACTCAGGTTTGTTTTTGGTTTATCTCCACTGGAGATTCTCCAGTCAATTTTTAATCTCTCGACATCATGTTGAGCGATTTGTATAATTAACTGTATTCTGTTAGTTATGCGCGTGCTTAACTGGAGCATTTTTATGCGAATTTTATACCCCCTAATATGGCTATTCCCATGATTTGGTTTATATTGAAAACTTGTTATAAACTAATCGAAACTAGATACATCATTTAACTATATCATTAGCATGAGAACGAACGCATAAATAGCATGTAGAAAATTTGCAAAGATCCGCTTAGACTCTTTGTTTTCAGACATTATTGAAGGGTATCTACCTCTATATAGCTTGAACGGTTTACAATGAAATTTCAGTTAGTTTCAGAATCATTTGTTGCAAAAGAAATTTTGAGCGTAGAATTTAACTTACCATACTCCAGGGCATTCAAGCTATCACCCCAGATACTTTAGTATTCGTCAAGATCTTATCGTATAAATGAGGAACACCCAATCGTCAATTGCGCAGAGTTTCGGCGATCAAGAGCTGCTGTACTTATCATTGATCACTGTTTCATTTTTCAGAGATATAACTAACTATTTCTTCTCTCTAATTCATCTCTTTAATTCGACACTCTATCATTGTGTTTCTCATTTTCTATCTCTCTAAACTCTTTTGATTGCTTTATATAAGCATTCATAGCTATTTCAGGTTGCCTTAATCTCAATTTATCTCTCTATATTTCCTCTCCATTCAGAGCTCCATTCTACTCCCACAATGAGTCAACTCCAAAGATTTAAATATTTGCTCATTCATCATAATTTGCGTCATTTAAGGTATTTCAGCTGATATATTATGAGACCATTCATAAGAAATTAATCCGTTTAGCAGAAGAATCTGCAAATCTTTGTGCTTGCAACATCCAATTTAGCGCTTTGCATAATTATTGCCAATTTCGATATTCAAATAAAAGACGTTTTTAATATTTTTTTTTATTAATTTTTCTAAACCATAATTAATTTTAATCTTATTTCGTTTAAATCTCTTGCAGTGTATGTGTGTGATTGTGAGTGTGTGTTTCTGTGTTCACATACATATATCTATGTGTATATATATATATTTATATCATATATATATATATACCTATGCATAAATACTTAGTTATAATGTCGTCGTTTGACTTTGAATGAACTCTAAAGTGTTTTGCTCTTATAGTTAACACACATTAAGTGACACATTTGTATGTGCATGTGTGCGTGTGTGCGTGTGTGCGTGTGCGTCGCTTATAAACCTGTATGTGTTATGTATACATATACATTTATATATATATAAATATTAGTTGTCGTCTTTTCGATTAATGCAAAATCAAATTTATTTACAAAATGTTTTTTATCATTTGTTTATCTTTCTTGTTGTCGTTGAATGCTCGTTCACTTGTAGGAAAAGGAAGAGTATATTGGTTTTATAGATGTGCAGTTATACGTCGGGATTGGTACTTGGTACTTGGAATGTCAATAGACCATATTATCTTTGATTGGTCAGCTGTCGTTATAATAATTATGGAATTTCATTAGAGCTCGACCAGTAAACTCTTTGAGTGATAGCGTGACAGCCCGAGGCCAACTTCTATTCAGACACAAAACTTCTTCTAATTGTCTGCCACAGTTTTCAGAATGACAAAAGTTTTGCAGCTGCATCTCTTCTCATCTGCATCTACAGCTGAAGCTTGCAGAACTTTGATTTCACTCTCAAATTAGCTTTTCTATTTTCTCAACTTGTGAGCGAGCATTGCGCAGTCGTCAGCAGCCAACTGCAAAGTTTTTATTTCTTTTATATATTTTTTTTTGTTTTTTTATAACTTAATCTAAATTCACACATTTACACACTCACACACACACACACGCATGCACACGCAGTTATGCAGTTTTGTATTTGTTTTTATGCAATTTATCTAAACTTGTTTTCTTCTATTTTTTTTTTTGCTGTTGTTGCATTTATCTGTTGCATTCGTTTTGCTTTCTGTTTTTTTTTTTTTTTCCATAATTGTTATTGATTTCTGTTGTATTGTATTTTATTTAAATATATATATGTTATGTCTGTATATATATATTTATTTATGTGTATGTCTGCTGCGTGTGGTGTACAAATTAAACAGTTTACAAACATTTAAATTGCATTTTGCATTTAGGTATTTATTTTATTTAAGAGTTAATTAAAACTACAGTCGCTACTAATGAATTTATTTACAGTGCCTGTTTTTTTTTTTTTTTGATTTGATTTTGTTTTTTGCTTTTTGCATTTCGATTTCCGTTTAAGCACATTATTAATTTGCATTTGTCATATGCTCTTATGTCAGCCAATACTAATTAGTTAGCACGTATATATAAATTTATATATGCTTTTATATATGTATATATACGCATATATCTTGTTTAATTATCTTTTATTTTTTTTGCGATTTGTATGCATTTGTCTGTACATGCTCATCAAGCTTTATTAGCTTGAACGATTTCTGACATTTTATACCCTGAACACTATTGAAAATGGGAGTTGAGAAGGTTGCACGATGCGATTTCTTTAGCAGGCAGAAGAATGCCTAATTTATGAACTGTTGTCTGTTGCTTCCGGTAGAGCAGGAAAAAAAAGAAACTAAGATAGTCAAGATAAGATTCCCACGGCAATATCATTCCCTGTATTGAAAAGTTTAGTGTAGAAGTTTGCCTTGCTATTCCCGGAAGAGTTAGAAAGTGGACCAAAGGATCTTCTAAGGGAGGTTCAACTCAAGATTCATTCTCATGTTTGGCTCCTCTGTCAATATTTCTTGAATGCAAAGTAAAGTTATGCCCAGGGTTCAGGGTAATTCCCAGCTACTCTCTCTTTATTTTGGTTAATTGTTCCTCATATGAAATTTCCTTGCAAAATACATACTTACATTTAGAAACGAAAACATTTATCTCAATGCATTGCATTATTTATTTGGGCTTACAAATTCTTCTATACAAGGGCATCTATAATTCGGTCTACCGAACATTTCTCTCCGCTTCAACTTTCTCCATATCAAATTACAAAACAAAACAGTTAATATAAATATTTATATCTCTATGTATATCTAAATGGCATTTATTTACAGCAAATATATATTCAAATGTTATGCTTAATACTTACAATAGAGTACACAGTGAGCTACAGCAGTATGCATACGGTGAGAGGGCTAGAAAAACGACTTAGAGAGGTTGAAAGCTGCACAAATTTGATTTGATTCGAGTGACATGCTGACTGGATTGGAGAGAACAGTTTGTATTGAAGCATTGTATATGTATAGCCTAGTTAGTCTTATTTCATAATGACAAAATTTGTGTTTTGCTATTGAGGTGTGTGTGTGTGTGTGTGTGTGAAACAAATGCAGGAGAAGATCACAAAAATATATGGAAATTGTTTGCCTGATGGAATTGGGAGTGAGAGATGCTTGAATAGGCTGTGAACTAGAAATCTTTAGCCAGAAGCAGCTTGAATAAATTGGGAATTGGGAAGCTTAAAGTCCATGGGAGTTGATTCAATTTATATTGATTGCTTCACTTATGAATTGTCAAGCTGATAAATGCTAAAAAATGTTTGAACTAGTTGGGAATTAAAAGGCCTTAGGAAAAGCAATTTGCATTTGTTTTAAATGAAGTAATTTAAAAAGAAATTAGCTAGAATTAGATATATTTACGCATGCTCTGACAAAAACCAAAGCTAATACAAATATATATAAAAAGCTGAGCTGCAAAGCTCTTAAGTTTTCCTATTTTTTGTGATCGATTCCGCATTTGTTCAACTAGATTTCGCTTAAATAATAATTAAATATTATCTATATATATATCATATTATATATATGCTCTTGCACTGTTTATTTGACTCTTCATATACAGATCATCTCATATTTTATTATGCCTTCCGCTTGGCTTAACTTACCCAAAAATCGAGAGCTTAGAGCTAAAGATGTTTGCATTTTCTTATTGGTTTTGTCTGTTTTGCTTTGTTCTTGTTCTTGTTCTTGTTTATTCACTAAGTGCATTTTATCTTAGATACGAATTCAATGCTTGCTTCAATTTAACTAAATGTCATTATTAACTCAATTACCATGATCATCAGCATCATCATGAACATCATCATCACCTGGAACTCAGTGGGCCAGAAGCGAACTGTCATTCCTTCATCTCAGTCCACTTTGCTGGGAGCTGCTGCTGCTGCTGCGGCGGCGGGGGCGGGCTTTCAGTGTGGCTGTTGCTGTTACGGCTGTAACGGCTGCAGCAGCAACTGTTGCCGCTGTTGTTGCTGCTGTTGTTGCCGCTGTTGTTGTTGCCGCTGTCGCTGGCTGTGACAATTCCTTGGCTGGCAGCAAGAGAAGCGCCGCCATTGTCTCAGCAGGCGCTGCGCACACATACCAATGCTGCAGGCAGCAGGAGAAAATGCTGAGCAGCATGCAACAAATGCCGCAGTAGAAACTGTTGCTGTTGCTGCTCGAATTGTGCTGCATGGCCGCCGGGTGTTCGCCTGCAAGTGGAAATGCCAAAGAAAATAGAGGAAAGCGTAAGAAAAACAGTGCAAATTAGTTAAGAAAACAGTTGTACATATACCCTGCAGCGCAGTCATGAGTAAGCGGGGGTATATACGGTCTAGTGAGGTACATTTAACGGCCAGACAAAGGCGTGACTGAGCCCATAAAATGTGTATA